CTGACAGATTCATTTGTTTTATGCAAGCATTAAGCAGGGGAATGACATTTTATCATCCATTTATGTTATTGATTTGTCTGTCGTACATCTATTTAGCTACCTTACTCTTTCCCAGTAAACCATTCAATATTAACGTTGTCAAGGCCTGGTGAATTCACAATTACAACATGGAACAAAGGCAACACACATCAACTCACCATGCGTCTAACGGATCTAATTCTATCCCAAGTGCCTGATTCTAGCTATACACAGGCATGGTAGTTACCCTTCTCAAGTGAAACAATTTTCCACCACGTCCCCATCAAATGGCATGTTCCGTTTCAATTCCACAGGAGGTACAACAAATTGAAAGCGGTCAACACAGGTGAAACGCCTTGCAGAGCAAAAACTGCCAAACTTCCAAAGACGGAGGTGAAAACGTCACCTCTGTGAAATGTCTCAGGCTTCCATACTATCAAATAAAGGCGTACTTAACTCAGAACCACCATTACAAGCATTTGATGTACCCGGTCCGTAGAATAATGTTACTATAAAAATTCTACATTACGACGCATAAATAAACAACTTTTGACCAAATTGGTGTTGGGATAACTCCATTGCGAGTTTTCGCGGTTTTTTGTCGTGTTCCTCAAATCGATGACGCGCCAGTTGATGCTTTTACGAATAATCGCTTGCAGTTGTAATGAATACAATAGACTTTTAACACCTTTTGTGACATGTCTTTTAAGTAAATGAGGCAAATACCCGCATTCCTATAATTGTTCAGTTGCGTTTGATTAACCTTGGCATATCACGCATAGGGCAGCCCCATTGTTTAAAAGACCCCTGTGCCACATCACCAGGTCCATTGCCTTTTGCGAAAAGATGTCTCGTTAAGAACAGAGTCTCTTCAAATGTTACTCTAATACTGAGATAGTTTTCTCTCCAACTGTTGCCACAACTTTCCACACAACAACTCTCAAATTTCACCTTTCATCAAAACTATTGACTACCTTTCAACTTCAACCCAACACTAACTAAATTACAAACTGAAACTTTAGGAATCAACTCCACCATCATAGCACCGCATTCAAACCACCTCATTAAGCAGACTTGTTTAACAATGGACTTGGTGATTCCGGCTAATGTTGTATCTGTCATCACCGACTTTCTAACTCAAGGTAAGTTCACACAAGTTTACAAATATTAAATTGGAAATAGTATTGTCCTGACATATTCACAGTTTTGACGCCGGAAGATAGACCTTGTTTAGTTACCGGGACGTATGGGGAACCAGTTGAAGACTTATACTACTGTTTTCGCGCACATTGTCCTCTTCAGGGGATTCCGATAGTTAATGCCGTCTTCGTCAGGCCGGTTGTAGACATGCCTGACTCCCTACTTAATCTAAATGGACTCCATTTTTTGTATTCTTCCCCGAATGTCTTTTCCTTAACACGTGCGTAATGCCCCAATAGGCTCAATCAGATACTTTGGCCTGTTTGAACATTGCAATGTTTAAAACCGGCATACTATCACAACCTACGTATTTTCGTCTATACGTAAGCAGATATGAGAGTGATCAACTCTCCAGCCTTAGCTTTTATAGTCGACCATGTCAAAATTTGAACCTCTCTTGTAACTTTAACCCCACATTATACGGTACGTTGTCGTATAGGACAAAGTGATTGTAATATCGTAATTGGGTCAAGTGCAGTTGTACCAAGGATCTCTCTTCATTAACAGTTATCCCCTAGGCATATCCTATCCCTGTTATCTCACAAAATTTGCCGTACTTTGATTATATTGTGGTCCAAGGGAAGTTTAGCTTGCGATGGCCCTGGCACCTGGTCTTACAAGGTAGCGGTCCGGACATCAATGACTCGGTTTGTTGCAATATATCAGTTTACCACGGAGAATAGTCACTTCAACGCGTGGATTTGTTTATTTGATCCATGCTTTCCATCCCATCATTCAAACACCGTCGAGATAGACCTTTAGTTCTCGCATCTACACCAAGCTCAAAAGATGCGTCATGAACAAACCATTTCCTTATATATGAAGGATTTATCTTTCCCGTTTTCCATTAAAATTGGTCTTGCCATAAGGACAGGAGAGGCTCGTTGTGCGCAAGGCGTTGTTTGTTTAAGCCAATTGTCGAATTAATATTAGCAATAAGGCACAAGATAAGGGCTCGGTACATCAGAGACAAAGTTGGTTGCAAAATCGATTTCAATCGCACCGCTCTCGAATCCACCAGATTTTTGAACACAGGATATTACAAATTAACAGGCAAAATGAAATTTTGTGTGATTTCAGGCAAGATTGAGACGATACAAATAGGAATCGCACATAGTGAAACGGTAGGAACAGGGAAGCGATGATAGAAGAGTGAAAGGATGCAATCTGATATGTATATGGGGTACATTCACAGTATAAAAATTATTATTTCTTCGGTCTTTTAGACCCTTTGACTGAGTTCGCCTCGTCGACACCTTCAGTCGCAATGGTGTGCTTATTTGATTGGGAATCAATTTTACCTTTTTTGAAACTACAAATCAGGGAATTTCCGAGTTAGTGGGCAGAAATAAAATACGTTAAGCAAACAGACTCACAATTTTCCTCTAGCACGGCCCGACGGGGTTTGACCAGTATCTTTGGTTTTGACGGTGGTTGTGGAGGACCTACCCGCTTCTCGAACCACGGTCAGGTTAATCCCGGTGACCTGCGAATGAGAGAGAAAACATTATCAACCAGCCGGAGACCTTTGGTACACAGGTAGACTTACATCACAAACGAAGCGATTATTATCCGTGTCGTAATCAATAAGGTAGCCAGTGATAACCGCTTCTCGGTTGACTTGGAACAAAGTTTGCATGGCGAGGAGGTTCCTAACGGGGCGTATGTAGTAGGCGACTTTAAAGGTGACCATCTCCTTCGCCTAAGCAAAAGCAAAGTAAGACGCACGCAGAAATTAAAAAACCACAAAGGGAAAACTGACCGCGTTGTCATAATCACAATGCTCAGCAACGGCGACCACGGTCGGCTTATCGTAGGAGTCTTCTTGAATTGTATATCTATCAACAATTAAGGCGAGACCTGAGACAGCTGTGTTGTCAGCTAACGAACCCTTCACATCTTTGGAAGTATTGACCAGCATCGCGTGATCGGCCTCATAGTACAATGTTGGTACATTGTCTTCCACGTTGGGTGCGATCATTCTCGATTTCATCACGTAGACACCATCAGTTTGAAGTAGGCTGGCTTCGTTCGCATACGCGGACAACTTCACTTGGTACTTGTAACCGTTGTTGCCGTTCAGACCTTTACATACTATAGAAGCATGGGCATCCCGCAAAGGATATGTAGAGTTGCTGGTTGTTGATAACTGTGAAGAGACAACCACATTATTAGGAGAAAAATGGGAAAGAAGAGATGAATAAGACGCGCACAACTTCGTAGACGTCCATAGGACCGGACACATTCAAGGTTCGGGCCTTAGCTTTAGTCGAAGAGATGCTGTTGGTGGTCATGGTCAGGGGAAATACTCAAGGTAAGGAGAAGATGCAGGTTATGTAGAGGTTGACTACAACAGGAGTGACCAGAAGTCAAGATTGGAAAGAAGAAGATGCAAGAGATGTTGTGGTAAAGGATGCAAGATGGCTGTTTAGCTAGAACGAATATGTTGAAACAAAGAGAAAGATGAGAAGCGATGAAATGAAGCAGGTTTGGGGGTATGCAGTTGAATGTGGGGGTGGAAAATGTTAGGCGGCAGAGTAGGTGATGAGGGATTTGTGAAAAAACGTGATCCAAGCCGCTTATATAGGGATACTGGACAGGCGTGCTAAGCAAGGTGTACCAAATCATGGGGTACTCCCGAAAAGCTCGCTATTAAAATGCACCAAATTGAATCCGACAATGGTAAGAAGCGCAAACAAAGTGGCCGGTGTAGCAAACGACACGTGCGGCAACAAAGGTAAAAAATTATGTTTGGATTAAAAAGCACAGCTTTGACAAGTAGGGAAAGAAGGAGAAAGACAAAGAAAAAGCATATCGAAACCGCAAGGGGAAAAGGATTGAAAAGCACAGCATTGACAAGTAGGGAAAGAAGAATAAAGACAAAGAAAAAGCATATTGAAACACCAAGGGCAAAACAATGAAAAGCAGCCGAAGTAATTGCCAAGAAAGAGAAGACGGTGGTATGAGAATGGAGCGAGACTAAAAACAACGTGAAGAACTTAAAAAGCAAGAATAAAAAGTGAAGTGCGGCAAAAAGAACCGGGGCGAAGAGGACGCAGAACGGAACGGAACGGTCCTTCATGCGAGTCGATTCGACGTATTTATATTTTAGATTCATGCTGACATCATCATTTATATTTCTTTCTCCACTATCCCTTAACTTTACTTGTTCAGATTTCGATTTTGATCATTGTGTAAGCTTGTGTAAGTAAGTAAGTAACTTTCCTTATCTGTTTCAATTGATATTCTTTCTTAACACTAATCTTAACCTGCTCTTTCTCCACTTTCCTGTCTTAGCTTTTCTGTTATCTAGATTTCCAGTCTGGCTGTTTATTATCTGCTTGCCTCCACAAATTTGATCTCAGCTACCTATCAACTACAACCCTGATCAAACTTCAATCAATCTCGATCTTGAGCTCTGATCTTCCTTGTAAGTCTTTTGTTACTTTCTCCACTCTCTTACACATTACTGACAGCTTATGTTGTTTCTTTCTTTATCTAGGAATTAAGATTGATCAATATTGAATTCGATTTTAGGCCTTCTTAAGCAATTTGTGTAAGTTTCTTTTTCTTCTATTCTGTTACATCATTTAAACTAACTTCTCCACTCTCTCTTGACTTTCTTTGTGAGTTCATAGCTGCATAGCTTCCAATTTCGATTCTTAGCTTCTTTCTTATGTATCAATGGTTTGGGAATTGATTAATCTATCAGGTGAGTATTCATTCTCCATTCATCAATTCTAATATTATTTATGTAACATCAATGTTGACATTTTCAAGTTTGACCTCCTTTTCTAAAGTATTTATTTCATTTGATGTTTGATTTCATATATTTCCCCTTGATATCATGGTGTAAAGATTTGCTTATTAATCTGATTGATTATGACTATATATACTAATGTGATCTTATACTAATATGTGTATATATAATTTTCTGTGTTGTTTTACTTTCATATGTATTTGTGTTCCTTGAGAATTCAATTTAGAAAACAAATACACATAGTGACAATTCAAATTGTTATGAACTGTCTTTCCTGAGTCTTGGTGCCTTGATGAATTAATGAAGAGTGATTCTTTTTTTCCCACCACTTGGTCTGTGATGTAATAAAAAGATGATGTGAGATTAAGACAAGATCATAGGAATTGCTTTCCACAGAGGCCCAATCTCAACTTGACCAACTCTTGAATTGTATCTCTCTCTAATGGTCGTCCTTGATCCTCTCAAAGATCATAAGATCATAAATCATCATTTATCATACATTCTTTCAAGTGAACCTTTGAATCAGATCAAATATTCACTTTTTAGTTTTAACCTATCTGGTGATCTTGATCAAGTTCATGTCTTGAAATTATCAGATACCATTCAGGTTGTGGGTGCGGTAGTATTTTTTTAGGCGCGCCAAGGCGTGTTTTCTTACAAAAAAAATTGTCAAAAGCCAAAAAGTTGCTTTGATATTGTTATTTCTTCTATGTGTGTTTTTCTAGAGCCATCTACTACCGCAAAATTTCCTTTTTAAGGTGAGAAAAGCTGTTGTAAGAGCTCACAGCGAGTGTCTGAGTCTTAAATATTGGTGACAGGACATGGAAATCCTACAATTTGGCGTAATTCTTGAAAAGGCGCGCCAAGCCTCATTTTGTTGATTATTCAAACCCCGCGGGGCGCCGAAGGCGCATTATTTGCACTGCGCCCACAACCTGAGATACCATGCAGGAAGGTAAACATAGTAGCTGTTATTTACCTGACCCTCATGGAGTGTTCCAGGGGATGTATGTGTAACTGTGAATTGGGTTCAATCAAGTTACTTTAGTTTCACCTTTTGTGTTGTCTATTTAAGTGGTATTCCTTCTTCATTGCTGTTGGATTGATCAGAGGCAAACAATTTCAATTGACTCGTAACATTTCAGGTATTTATCAAGGTCATCATCTTGTGAACTTCAGCAGATCAATACAACTATCTCTGATTCCTGTTGTATTTTTGTACTAACAGTTCTCATTGACTGTTGTTTGTACCCACAGGTTTCATGCTTTGGATCATGCACAGATCAAACAAATATGTGAAGATTTCAAACAGAAATCAAATATATTACCTGATACGATCTCAACTCCCAATATTCACATCCTTGACCAAGTTGATCTATCCAATTATGCAAACTTCACATTCTCAAGATTGGTCAAAGAGGGCAGTCTTAGCCTCTGAAAAGTACTACAAATACTGCGTTGCAGGGAATCTTCTCATAGCTGAGACAGGTATTTGTTGATTGTTTAAATCCGGCCCAAGTGGGAGTCAACCACCTGAAATTGCTCAAGAAGTTTGTCCTCATAATGGTCCTTCTACTTATGAGTGTGTAACTTATAAGGAGATCTCATCAAGAGGACCATCAAGATGAAATTGCCAGTTATGTTAATTTTTCTCACTCAATTTCATTGGACTTGGAATGCCTGAACTGATTGAACATTTCAATTATTGCATTTTTAGACACTATGGAGTATTACAATTCTCTCAATGACAAGCTAAAAGAGAACTACATGGATAGCAACCAAGTGATACAAGAATCAGGATGGGATACATCACCCCAATTTGGTCCCTCTAAGGCTAAGATCTTGGATTTCAACCCAATCTGGCTTAACTCATTATTAGTCCAAATGGAAGAAGATCTCTCCAAGTTATATGCCATGAACAAATCAATTGACCCAAGTAAGTCCGAGAAGAACTCCCAAAAAAGACAATATTGGACCCAAAAAGCTCAAGATCATCACTTGAAAGGCTTGATGGGGTTACAACTCCAACTTCAAGTGAAGTTCATTCAGAATATCATCAGTAAAATGACACTTTCACTCCATACATAAGAAATTTAAGGGCATTTTGAAAGAAACCCAAGGTCTTTCTTTTGATTCATTTAGATTTCCTCGTGGCCTTCATCCTGCCCCAGGTTATAAACATTTACCTCCTACTGGTCTTGTTTTAGCAGTAGCATCCAATAATAATTTTCAATGGATCATCAGTCATCCCAGAAAGCTATCATTCCAGGTACATCAAATCCATACCAGCTCAGTTCTTAGCAAAACAGTGGATATCAACCAATGTGAATCTTCTTCATTTTCCACAACCTGTTTTATTTATATATTTTTTGTTGTTCAATTTGAGTATCCACCATAAAGCAAAGCCAAAATGCAGATCATTCATATGAGTAGGCCATTTATTCACACATTCAGAGTTGATCTCTTGGTCAAATGTGCTGGATTGTTTTTGTAATAATATTTTTCAGATTATGGCTACCATACCTTTGTTTTCTTGCATCTCTAATTGTTTTGTGGACTTGTCCACAGTCTTGGTTTCAAACCTCTCTGGCCTCAAAAGAAAATATTGCTGCTTTTGCTGTCTGGTTCTTATGGCTTTTTAGTTTCTGTTTGTGACTTGTGAAAAAATGATGTTTGCTCCCTTTTAAGCATGTTAGACTTTGTTTGCGCCACTGGTTGTTTTCTATTTTATTTTGAAACACATCCTTGCACAGTATGCCATGTCCTTCAATTTTCAAGACTTTGTTGGAGGCTCTTTTTGCTCATTCTAGAACAGAAGTGTTACATATGGTAGAGGTTGTGTGCAACACATTTAATGTTGCGCTTTGCCCAATACGTAGAGCTTGTTTGTCAAAATGTGGTATTTATTCTGGCTGAGAGCGGCGCCCGCCGCCCCCAAATGGCTAGTTCCTCACTTGTGAAAAGAGCTGTACAGCTCCGTGTGTAGTAGTGTTAGACTCCGCCCAAACGCTGCGCATCCAACCGCGTGGTGTAAAATAGGTTTCGGGAAACCTTAAAAAGACAAAGAAGTGAGAGTAGAGACGCCTCATCTCAAATTTCGAAGGACGAGAGCAGCTTCACAGCACGTGAGTTTTACCAGCTCTCACGAGTGGTAATTCGTCCCCTCTCCGGCTCAGCCTACGCTACACTGCGTAGGAGTTCTACACCCAGTTTAACTAAGGAGATGATATGTTAACTCATAATACAAAAACAAATCTCCGGACTATGGCGCGAGAGCGCCAACAAGCTAAGCGCCACAATCATCAAGAGTACAACTAAGCCGCACGGCGGATTCGACGTGCCAAATTTTCTGTTTCTCTAGCCACCTTCCCGCTGTAAGGTCTAACGTACAACTTATAGGCCGAAGACTTCCACCGTCCCGCCAACTTCAATTTCGTTGTGGAGTAACCTAGGTGGGCCTTCAGAGATGCGCCGCCAATTCTTAAGCTATGGCCAGACCAGGTTGTCGAGTTTGACGGGTTGTGATCGTTCAGGAATCGTATGACTGAGTGCCGCTCCAGGGGGTTGTTGTTGGCAGTGTGGAAAAGTGGATCTTGAGGTCTACCAGAAGTCTTTTCCAAGATGTCTCGTATCGCACCCAGTGGGTTGAGGTGGTTTGGCTGGTATGAGAGGCGCAAGTATTGATACTCGCACCTGTGCCTACCCGACCCGTCGGGTATAAGTCGATAGGAAATGTGTACTTCCTATCGACTTATAGCCGAAACCCCCCTGTCCGACGCGCCGCCGCCCCGACGCGTCGGATCAAAACTCACCGCTAAGTACTCTATCCACCGCTACATGACCTGTGAGGACCTGTAACACCATCAATGCCCACGTATTGTCCTATGGTCCAGGGACACATATACCCACGCGAAATTTCAGGAATCCAATTCACACTTGATG